CCGGCTGCAGCGGCGGCCATTGGAGGGTGAACCAACGGCAAAAGGAAGACCTTTCTCTCTCTGTCTCTCTCTCTCACTGTCCACTCTGCCTGTCAGAAAAAAAAAAAAAAAAAAAGAAAGAAAGTAAAGACCAAAAAATGATAGTGTGTTTGTGTGATTGAATTCAAACAGTACAGCAATAGTTGATACTGTGAAAGATGGAAGAATTTCTGGTGTAATATTCTTGAGGAGGTGAGACAAGTGAAATCTCTTGTATAACTGGAAGGCTGGGCTTTAGACAAGGGCAGGGAGAGCTGATTCATGGTAGCAAGTGGGAAGGCAAAGTATGTGGGTACAGTTGATGCTAAGTGGGTAGATGAGGTGATGAGATTCTTTGGAAGTTCTTTTCTGATTCCTTCACTTTTCTTAGGGAAGTTGGAAGAGGCAGGGGATCAGATGAGGGGATGTGAGAAAAGCGACACAGGGGTGGTGGTGGGAAAAAGTGTGAAAGAGTTTAGGACAGCAGGAGAGTGAGTGTACTAGGACTCCTCGTATAATTGCCTGGCAGTATTAAGGGCTCACTTGAATTGAAAGTGAAACCGGTTATCTTGGCTTTGTGTATATCTGCTGTGTGTATGTTTCCAGACCACTGCTTCCCCTGCAGCTTTCCCAAAAGGCAGCAGCTTCTCTTTCACAGCCCTCACACCTCTAAGCCTAATGTGGAAAAGGTAGCATTATTTGTTGTTTTTCCTTCCAGACCGTTCCCCTTGCTTAACTCCCCAAGTCTGAACCTAGTGGCATCGCACTGCAGCACACAACATCCTACCTTTGTGCTTTTATCCACCAGCCCTCAACGCATTCTCTCTTACTGTTATTTACTTCAGCTCCTGTTGTACTGTCACTCCCTCATGTGCCACCTCAATCTTGGGTATTATCACATTGTAGGTAATTCACTTGTAGGTAATTCACTCCCACCCTGCCTCTCATTTTCTTGGACTTCACTCTAGGCACTGTGTCCTCCACCCTACCCCAACTACTCACTCTCAAAATTACAATCTTGTCTTTAGCTACTTTCTGATCTCTACTTCCCATTTTTCTAGCCTTTTTCTTCTATTCTAACCCCTTGACCTCCAATCTCATTGACCTTTTGGCTGTCCTGCAGCCTCCTCTCCTTCAAACCACCCACTGATGTTCATTCAACTTATTCAACTTAATTCCATGGGGAGGATTATAACCATGGCATGCATATTTAGACCTACCCTCTATGCCCATGGCATGCATATTTAGACCTACCCTCTATGCCCCACTGCTGGTCTCTCAAACTGATACCACCACTCTGGGTAAGTCCAACTCTCTATCTACTCTGGTTTGCATCCATGTAATTCTCTGTGGTCTGGAAACATACACACAAGCATAACATATACATAACATACACAAAGCCACATCAGGAGAACAGGCTGGAGTGAAGGATAATTTTGCTTATCATGGACAGTGGATTATGCAGGTACAGTGAAGTTTGGAAAGGTAGGAGAAA